CATCTTCTTTCAAATTAGAGCGTATCAGATCTGGACTGAAAAACCTCTGATGAATAATAAAGGTCAGGAGAAAGATTTCAGAGAGTTCTAGGCTTTTACTGACATTTAGTAATTTCTTGGCGATAGTTACATTTTGGCTCTGGTTGCTATACTCCAAAGTGCAACCGAACATCTATTTTAATTTGAAAGAAGATGAGGAAATATTGAATGTATGAGAAAGGATCATAGCAGCTCAATTTAACTGAAATGGAATAAAGTAAAAATTTAGCTTTTATCCTAGCTTTGAAACATATCCCTTTGAATGATTTATCATGCAAAGGCCAGAGTCTGGACATTAGCCTGAAATAAATAGCATTTTGTAAACTTAAAAAAATATTAACTGAACAAAAATGACTTGGAAGACCAGAAAACGGAAAAGCTGCTGACATTGCAGCAATGAAAAAAAATGCACTCATTCAATATTTTCACCAGATTCTGAATGCCTTCATTTTTAAGTGCAAAGTAAATCACACTAGAGCATCTTTGCTAAAATGCAACAGGTCGTTATTACATTACAGATGCTATCTTTCACCTTTAATTTGTGGAGAGTGAGATCTCCTAGCCGGTAGTAAACCCTGGAGTAATATATGGCTTCTTGAACCCCTTGCAATTCTGGTGAATGCAAAGAGAGCGTCCTCAGGTAACAGTCTTCAGCCATCTCATACATTTGCAGAAGGTAATACACAGTTGCCAGCCGATGAAAGGCAACCAATTCTTGCAAATGATCTCCTGAAAGAAGAAAAGTGTCAAAATGGCATAAATGAACTATGGGGTGATTGTAAAGGCTGGAGCATTTGCAACTCTCCCTTTCCTCCTACAGCACCAAAAGACCATGTTCTCCGAGCAGCAACATTTCCAATTGTTTCCTGCCTAGTTCCCAGGAATTGTTTCCAGGAGTTTTGAAGACTGCAACATGTTCCCTTTTTGTTCCTGTAGGAAGTTAGCATCCACCTCTTTCCTATAAAATGAAATATTTTAGGAAAAATTAAAAGGGCCGAATATTTTGCCTTAAAAGGGAGGCAGAAACTCATCCCTCCATCTTTGTCAATGGGCCATTAAGGCCTGAGCCATTCTGTTCTACATAACAAAGGTAGCATTAGCTCTCTGCCCATCTCACCACATGGCACCTGGGAAGATTACATCAGCTAGCACTCAAATAAGCCTGGGACACAGACAAAGCCTACAAAGTTAGCTAAGACCCCCGCCCCCTGGGAGTCTGACAGCCAATGGGATACATTTCTTAGGAACAGGAAAAAGAGAGGTGGGGCCCAACAGAGGGTATAAAACTCAGGAACTCTTGGTCCTTTTTCTGTTCAGGAGTTCAAGCAATGTGATCCGGTCTACCATTAAACCACCTTTTCAAACAGTCTCCATGTTTTCAGTGTCTTTTTCCCACTTGAGAAAAACATTCCCCCAGAAGTTAATGTACAGTGCAAATCCTTCCTGCTGAAAAGTTTTACAGTAACAACCATAACCATCAATGCACACAATTGTTATTTATGCACATTCCTAATGTTATAAAAAACTAAACAATAGGGAAGAAATGCCAATTTCATGTGGTAGGCATTAAACAGTCCATTGCTGCAATCTTGAAAAATGTCCGTACAATGTTTCCATAGACACAATCATTCACAGAGGAAATGAAAAAAAAAAATGAAGGACAGATTTCTTGATTGAAACATGATAATGTAGACTATTAAATTTTACTGCGATGAAATTGGACGTGCCATCTTCAAAAACTCATGCAGAAATATTCTACTCATATTTTTTTAAAAAAAATTATGTTGTCCCATGTTGAGCAGTTACACAACAAAATGAAGATGGCAAAAATGACAAGGATACGTGAAATAATCTATTTGATAGAAACATTCCCCCAGAAGTTAATGTACAGTGCAAATCCTTCATGCTGAAAAGTGGATTCAGTTAAGAATTTCTAGGCTGTTGCTTGTAATATCATTGTCAACTACCGGTAAATACTGTATCCAAAAAGAAGCTATGTTTTGTACACTGCCGATTGAGTAATCTCTGACTGGGATATCAGAAAGAAGGATAAATTTATCTGGTAATTTTTTCCTAGTGGTTGTGGATTCATAAAATCCATGAAGAACCATTTCTCTGATTCCAAATGAAGTCAAGTATAATAAATGTCTACTTACCTTTGTAATCAGATTTTGTGCCTTTTAAAACATTTACTGAGGCTAACTTGAGTATTTTAAATTGACTTAGGTGATGCCAAATTAAATCCCAGTATTTCCACATTTTAAATTGGCTTGGGTGACACCATCTTCTAAGAGATGTATATTGATTATTTTTCTACTCACAAATCATTGACAATTTTCAGAAAATGAGTTGAATATTCTTGCATTATAAACCTTGATTCCTTCCTACCTACATCCACACTGAGTCTGACTGCCAGGGTAGCAAATTCCAAAGCATTTTCATAATTGTGGAGCCCGATTTGGAGTTCAGCTAGCTTGTTGAACACTCTCAACTCCGTTTGTGGGTCTCTCAATTTCCTGGCCAAAGGTATAGCTCCTCCCTGGTGAAAAGATGAAACAATTTGTCATGGTGGTTTCATAACTTTCTACTAACTAGCCATCCTCTCCCTGTAGCCCACTAAGAGTCCCTCAGAGAGGTCACACAAAGTAAGGAAGACCTGACCATTCATTCAGTCTCTTTGATCATCATTTTCCATAGCATCATTTTCTTTCATTAACCGAAATGAACATATCTCACAGTTTTCAGGTTTACAGATAAGAAGCCCAAGCGTAACTTTCCTGGGTTCTCATTTAACCTTCTCTTGAACTTTAGATGAACCTGAGATCATTTGGCTTTTTGTTTCCTTGTTTTGGGCAACTGGATGGCTGCCCGTTTGGCTTTTGCCTAGAAACAGATTTATGTCTATTTAATTCAACAAAAGTATTATGTCATTATAAATTTAACACAGTTTGCACACATTGTTTAATATGAAAGAAAAGGCTACTGTTGGATCAATCAGACCACTATAGACTTTCAGGAAGTGGGCATGTTTTTGTTTTTTTTTAACGTGATAGGGCTATACATGTTCTTTTTTCTTTTCTTTTTTAAAAAGGGAACAACATCATTAATGCTATGAACACTTAAAAAGAGAAAGTAAAGTTTTGTTACTAAAAAGAGGGAAAGCACACACACAAAAAAAGAGAACTCTTGCTTACTTTGTTGCTAAAGATATTTAAGTAAAGTTTTTTAGAATGCATCCCTCAGTTCAGTTGGAAGGGACATTTCTTGCAAGGACAACCATCAAGCTATCAAATGCCACAGTTTCACTGAACTGCATTTTTACTCTAGCAATCAGCAACAGCAGCAATCCAGGTTTCTTTCTTTTTTTTTTTTTTTTAAATGTTTTTCCAGTATTATTGGAAGGTATCAGGGATTGAACCAGTGACTTTTTCCAGTCAAGCCATATGTTGTATCATGAAGGCATGGATTAAAAAAAAAAGATGATACATACACAAAGAGCAACAACAAGAAAATTCCGCACCATGATCTTACTTCCACAATTAACAGCCACAACACAATCAATCCTCTCTCACCTTCACTGCCATGCCTAATTATACTCCTAGATTCCAGTATGTTTATTTTCAGCTGGCAATATTAGCAAGTAGGCACAGAAGGAATCACTGGAGTAGATTGGTGGTTCTCCCCCCCTCCAACACCCCCATGATATCTCTCTGATATACATCTCATTTTTCACTTTCCTACTTCTGCACAGTTTCTTTCCATCAATGTTAGAAACACCCACTAGTGGCAACCTCTAGAAATGTCAATACAAATATATCTTGTAGTTGATACCCTGTAATATTCCACTGCCTGATGCCTGTTCCTGATTCCATTGAAGAAGACATCTCCTGCCTCTTCATATAATCCCATGGCCAGGTGCAGCTCTTTGGGTTTCAGTGCTGTCTCTATGGATGCCTGAAAAGAGGAACCAGTGAGGTTAACAGCTGAGGCTATAGCATCATAGAAAAAGGGTGACATTTTGCTCAATACAACTCAAGGCACTTCAATTTAGCTGCATACATTTTAACGCTCTTATGCATAACAAAATGCATGACATTTTTTTAAATAAAATTCAATGGCAGAGACATCATAACTCCAAAGGAAAAAAATGGAAATTAGGTGCAAAAAATTCAAAAATCTCTCCATGCAGAGAGATTTTCATTGCTCAGTAATATACACCCTCTTATTTTACTTCTTAACATTCAGTTCTCCTTTTTTTTGATAGTCTGATATTCATCACTCTAATGTTCTTCTACTCAACCCCCTCTTACTTTTTACTACCAAATCTCTGAAATCACCACACACTACACATCCAAATGTTGCTTATAAATCTAAATTTTGCACCCACAAATGAAAGTCATAGATTTTCATTATTAAATATGAGATAACTCAATATTAAACATCAATATTTAATATGATCTAATATTAAGATAAGTGTGCAATATGTAATCATGCATTTTGCATAAAGCTTTGAGGACAAAACATGCATATGTGCAATGCAGAATATCTGTGGTTCAGCCAATATCTTGGCTGAACCACAGTCATCTATCTATCTATCTATCTATCTAATCTATCTATCTAATCTATCTATCTATCTATCTATCTATCTATCTATCTATCTATCTATCTATCTATCTATCTATCTATCTATCTATCTATCTATCTATCTANTCTATCTATCTATCTATCTATCTATCTATCTATCTATCTATCTATCTATCTATCTATCTATCTATCTATCTATCTATCTATCTATCTTAGCTAGAGGGAAATTTACTGTCATGGTTGGCGCTGCCTTGTATTGTTAGACTCAGCATCCTCATGTGCCAGACACATGAAAACTAACATTTTATAAAGATTGATAAGTGATCTGTGTTATCCAATGATTGAAATCATATTTTTGCAATAATCTTTTACAAAGTGGTTCAGTAAAAAGTGACAACTGCTAAAAAAAAATACCAAGTCCCATGCCAGGAGGATATCAATTTAGAAAATAACTTTTTTATGTACCTGTAAATACATTTCCACAAGTTCGTTCTCTTGCATTTGATAATAGAGCCTACCAGCCTGTAACCAGGCCTGAGCTGTTTTAACAATTTCCTCCAGGTCAATAAATATTCTGAGGCTCTGCTTGGTACAGTCCAATGCCTGTTTCAAAGACCTGTTGGATTTACATATATTTCTTTATTACAAAGAAATTAGCAAAACTCATGCATAGTCAAAACAAACTGCCCCATTTTAATCCACTCTATAAAACATCCCTTACAAGAAACTGTATCGTGTGACCTTCATGAATTCTTTCCTTTGGTTTTAAATCCAATGGAGAAATTCTTTTCAGCAGATGGACCTTTAAACAGGTTCTTAAATAAGCCCTTGTTCTAAAGATATCACTCTTAATGGAAGGACAACTGGACTGCCACTAATGTTTCATGACCAAATGGTATCACACTATGTGGTACATGTTTCCCCTAACTGTCATGTTGGAGACACACTATAGAAGGAGTTTCAGGATGATGCATGACCTGTTCACTACAAATGACACATGTGAAATATGAACACCACACTCCTGAGATGTGTTGCCCTCATCTTGCAGGCTGTGGGATATCTGTTCATTGGTACATTATGTTATCGTTTTTCTGTCATTTGAAATGGAATAAATTTACCCCAGCTTCCAAATAGCCCAAATAAATGTGGACCACCAGGGTCTAAATTTGAGGTTTTGAAAGAGGGAGGGAGGAGGAAGGGAGGGAGAGAGGGAGGGAGTGGTGGGAGGGAGGGAGGGAAGGAAGGAAGGAAGGAAGGAAGGAGAAAGGAGGAAGGAAGGAAGGAAGGAAGGAAGGAAGGAAGGAAGGAAGGAAGGAAGGAAAATTTCAATAGAACATTAGCTGGCTCTGAGATTCTTTAAAGTTCACTACAGATGAAAAGATAGACAGACTGACTAAATAAATAACAAAAGAACAATCACTATATCACAAGCTGCTAATAATTTCTCCTAATATGATATGAATATCATATATGATATAATATCATTTGACATGTAATAAAGTACATTGATACAATTGCTAGTCAGAAACAATGGGAGAGAGATTAAAACTTAACATTGGTTTTTATTGAATTATTTTCCTTTTTATATTTTTAATTCTTTCTCTTTTTCCCTTTTCTTTCTTTTATATAATTATGTGCATTTATTTTTAGAACAGTGACAAATAACAATGTTATCAGTATTGATCTCAGAATCTTATAGAGATTTTAACTTTTTTCTTAAGGTAATATATGGAATCTAGGTCTATATATTTAATTAACAAATTAATGAAATATCAAGTTAGTGCATTTTAAATTTTATAACTATCTTTGCTGATATTTATTTATTCCCCATACCTTTTTCTGCCTTTTTTCTTATGTAGCTATTTATTCTGTTCTTTAAATGTTTCAAACAAATTATTTATTAAAAGAAATAACAAAAGAAAAGGTGGGAACTTAAAGCAAGTGAACCATTATGACAAACTTAGCTTGAAATTTCTGGTGAAAGATACAGATTTTCTCCTGTGCACTCACTCCTCTTTGGATCCTGGTTATTGTGTCTTTCTTTTAGTCATTTGTAACAAGGCATATTAATATAACTATACTTGTTAACAAAGGAGTTCTGAATGGAATTTACAGTAAATATATTGACATTCTGCATCTGAATGCAGAATTGTTTCTATATCTTTTTTTAAGAGCAAGGAAATCTGTGTACATGCTTTCTTTTTGGCTCTTTCCTTATATTCCAAATGTCTCTGTCATCTGTATTTATCTGGCAAGTGAGCATACTATACGACTGGTGAAGTGATTTCTGTCATACCAAGAGAAAATGTGCTCTGTTTCAAAGTGTCACAAATATTAATCTATGCCGATTTTCTCAGACCAAGACAACTAAACACGGGGGAATATTTCATTGTTACTAAATAATACATATAAACTAATAATATCAAATTAGTATTATTTATTGTTTTAAGATCCCCCCCCTTCTTTCCAAAGTGTTCAAAGCATCTGACATTAAAATCAATGGCAGAGGATAGATTAAAAATGAATGCATCTTTTGAAAAGATTCTAGTGATGATCTAGTGTTCAATGGATTATAAACAGTGGGACTTGGGCATAAAGACATCAATATTCTAGAATATTCATGCTTTAAATATTATTGTTTTTCACTTAAAACAATAAAAGGGAATTGCTTAATGACAAAATCCAATGTAACCAAAACACTGTTCAAAATATTGCAACACTTTTGAGTCCTAGTCATTATTTCAACATTTAACCAGGAACCTGAGTGCTGACTCACCTGGGTGTATGTAAACTTTGGTAGAGTTGGCTGAGGTCCTGTAAAAGGTGTCCTTCTTTTTCTCTGTTCTGAAGTTGCCGAAGTAGGAGAACTTGATGCTCATGGTATAGAATGCAGGTTCTAGTATCAGGATGCACTTTACTATAGAAATGGCAGAGGGACTCAGTGACATGAAGTTGACCTACACAGCATCAGATAAGATAAGAGATTTTTTTTTTAAAAAAAATTGCCAAATAAATAACAAACGTAAGTTGAACAACTTCCCCAAGGAAGTACTCACTTATCACATTTTGAGTCTTCAAGGCAATGGCCAAGGCCATCTCGTAAAAGATGATGCCTTCTTCTGCCTTACATCTCTCTAGCTTGGACTGAGCCAACCATAACAAAATGTGCACCAGTTCCATTTGTGTATCATCACCATCCTGGAGTTCAAAATACAACTGAATGGCTTGGAGAAAATAGTATTCTCCTAAATAGTAAGCCCCCAAAGATGTGATTAGGCAACCAAAGTTGGCTAAGGCAATGGCTTGGTTCCGCTGATTTCCATTTTCCTGGGCTTTCTTCAAGGCCCAGAAGTAGTTCTCTGCTGCCTTTTGCACCTGCCCCTCTCTTTTAAGGGCAATGGCTAAAAGATTGTGAACCACCCCATCTTGTGTGACACTGTCTGTCTGCCGCAGGGAACACAGGAGATATTGCATGATCTCTGAGGTCTTGTCTGGCTGATTGTTCAAAGTAAACAGCCACCCCAAAGAAAGGGATGCTTCAAATGCTTCTTCTTCACCCATCACTTTACTCAGGGCAACAGCTTGTTTGGAGTAATGCACAGCCTTTTCTAGCATGCCGTATTTGAGGTACAATTTGGATAAAAGTGCACACAAGGCCTTTTCAGTTGATACAGTCCCAGCTTCGTGGGAGAAGGACAACCCGCAATGCAGATAGAAGCAAGCCAGCGCTGAGATGCTGTTGTGGCTTTTCTCTTGGGCTTTCAAGAGCTTAGAGGTGTTTGCAAGGATGAATCCAGCTCTCCAAATGGGTGTGAAGCCACTTTTTATATTGCTAGGGGAGTACATCCTGGCAGCCGCCAAAGCTACATGGGGCACATACTTTTTTTCATACAGATAGGCGAGAAAAGGCATTGTATCTAAAGGATACGTGCTGGTAACCTGGCTGGTGAGCTGTGCGTTCAGAAACTGCAAGCGTTCTGCAAAAGGAAGAACCTCATCATATTTACCCAGCTGCAAGAAGAGTCTGACAATGAGGAAGCAGGACCTAATCTCCATTGTTGTATTGCTTACAGTAATGGCTTCTCTCAGGATGTACATTACAACCTCTAGTTCAGTCTCAGAACTGAAGCAGTGTCCAGACAAGCAGGCCAGAAGTGTCATGCCTTTCCCAATCATAGGCAAGAACTTTTGCTTCATCTTTTGCTTTAAATAAATGGCAGCAAGGTTGGCATGCAATGATGTAAGTAGAGGTAGATCTTCGAACCCCTTGTCCATAGCATTCATGGCTTCCTCGAAGTAGACTCGCGCTTGGGAGAACTTGGCCTTCCTGACACAGAGGCGGCCCAAAAGATAGCATATCCGAATGTGAGCCCAACCAAGGTGGCCCCGCTTAGCCCAGTTCCTGGATGTTTCCAGATATACGACTAACTCCTCTTCACTGGTGAAACCATAGAAGGTAGAACTGAGGAAGGAAAAAGAGAGATCATACAGACTTTGGAAATGTGGCACATAGCTATCTTGATTGAGGAAAGTCAATATAGGATCAAACACATCACAGTCTTCCATATGCCCAGCATTTAGATCAATAAAGAACTTGGGGTCATCAAGGTCATCTGGCTCTGGCAGAAGTAAATGTTCAAGGGTGGAAGGTGAGGATTCAGCCACTGGAGTTGACTTCTCAGAATCAGTCTGAGTACATAAACTGTTGTAAGATTGCTTCCCCCAATTTTCAAACATCCAACCATTCTTATGTCCATGTACAGCAGCATCTGAAAACGATCAATAAAGCACAAGTATACGATTACCTTTACGGTGATATATTTCAGGGGAGAAAACCCATCCCATTTCCCCTTTCCACCATACTCACCTGGTGGTCTTTGTGGGTACATCACAATAGGTTCAAAGCCATCTGTGTAATCAAGAAAAATGAGAGACATATGCAATGGAACCCACTACAAGTTCAAAGGTCAAACTTCAAACTTGGCATTATAACAAAAAAACTTAAGTTGTTTCATTCAAAGCATACACACAAAAAATGAAGTCCAATCTTAGCTTGGGTGATATGCTACAAGGAAGGAATACAATGAGTGTAAGGATTATAAAGCTATATGACTATACTACAATGAAGGGAGAGTATACTGTAATTTCTGAATTAGATCAACCTGTTCATTTTCTATATTGGAAACGTCATTAAAGTATCACTTTGGAGATACCGCAAGTTCAGTTCCAGATCACATCACTAAAGTGAATATTGCAATGAAATAAATCACACAATTACTTCGCTTTCCCATTGCATAATATATAAGTTACGTTCAATAGTGTGCAATAGCATTAGGTCTAAAAATGTACATGCCTTATTTAAAAAAAAATATTGCTGAAGTGATTAATGAGGATGAAAAAGTTTGTAATATTATGAGAATTACTAAAATATGAGGCAAAGACAATGAAGTGAGCAAATGCTATTGGAAAAAATGGTGCCAGCATATTTGGCCAATGCAGGATTGCTGCAAACCTTCAATCTGAATTCAAAAAGGCAGTATGTGCAAAACACAATAAAGCAAAGCAGAAGAAAATGAAGTATGTCTATGTAACTGTAAATACAGATTAGCAGGTGCTAAATAAAATTGAGTAGGGTGTGGGGCATAAAACCTGATGAGCAAGGTGGTGTTATCAGGTACATTATGGGCATATGCTGTATGCCCATGTACCTGATAATCACACCTGGAGAAGGAGAACTTAGTGTGATATGTAGACAAGGCTGATGACCTTGGTTATATCTTCCTTATTACATTTCATCCTCCTGCTTTTATGTCTACTAAGAATTAAAGCACATAGAGATCATCAAGATGACATCAAACTCTCCTGAGTATTTTCGAAGATAATATTCTTTCAGAAGATGAATAGTATAAAGATAAGGAGAAGCAGAAAATTTGGGAACAAGAAAGAGACATTAGAAAGAGACAATATCCAGAGATATGGAGACATACCCAGTCTATATACAGAGGTGATGTCTGTCTGTGCCCATTCATTAAGAAGATTACTGTAATATACCTCATTGCCATTACAAGGAGCCTGGAAGAAGGCAGAAATTTCTTCTTCACTAAAAAACACTGGGCTGTTTCTCCTGCATTGTGAATGAAAAGGCAGAGAATGGTCAGTCAGTGCTTAATATCTTTTATGTTGCCAGAGCCCACTTAACTTTTGCAATGGTGATGAATATCTGTAGCTCGGGTGGAGGATGAGGGTGGAGATTCGTTCTCCAAGCCTGGGCTTGGTTTCCGAGTGTTTCAACCCTGACATCCCCTAGACTCTGCTGAAGATATTACCTAGCCTAGTAATGAAACATTCGGGAACCATCCCATAAACTTGGAGAACGAATCTTCACCTTCACCACTTACCTTTTTCCTGCTGTAAAATGCAGAAAGAAAAGTCCAGATCTTGCACTCTAGTATTAGACTAGAAAAATTCAAGCACAGTCATTCCTAAAACTAAGGGATGGTCTTGCACCATTTAATGATGAAACCAACCCCACAGGGTCATTGCTGGGGAAAAAAATAAATGGGTATGGGAAATAATGTGGAAAATGTATAGAAAGCAAGGTATCTGATTGACATCCTGAGTTATGTTTTTAAAAAGGCTCCTGAAAACATCTCAGCTATGTCTTCTGTCGTTCAAGGTCCTTTTCTTTTTTCTTATGGCAAGGAGGCGTCACTTAATAGTTATGTATAGGATGGATTCAAACACACATACACTAAAGTCATTCAAAACCTTCTCTGGTAGTGATGCTTGCAATGAAGTTTTAACAAATCGATCAAAGGAAAATATATTGGAAATATACAGGGAGAGAGACAAGTATTGTATCTATTATTCAACTTAGCTTATGCCATTTATACAGCTGAAAGTATTGATTAGAAAACATATTGTTAACATAGATGATGGATTTGAATACATTTATTTTTTATTCAAAGGTGTTTGTGGTTGTGTCACTTTTTCAGAGATTTTCTCATATTTTTAAAACTACAGAACCTAAAATGTTAACATATTTTAGCATTTTTTACAATTGTTTTAGTTTTTTCAGATTTCTGCAATAACAACAGGAATTGAACTGATTTCTTATATTATATTAATGTATATACCAGGAGAATACAAACAATAAACTAATAAAAAGGATCTTTTATGGAATACTGATTAGTGAATTCTCCATATCTTTAACCAAAAGGACTGATTAATTGAGGACTGATACTACTGATATAATAGGTGCCAATTTTCATACAATTCTACCAACACACAAGTGTTTGGAGGTGGCAAGCATGACACAGTTTATATATTATGATATATATGACCCAAGTCCTGAGTAGTAGCCTTTGTACAATCATGTCTTGTTTGTTCATTCCCCCTTTGTGTATTATTGCAGCATGAAAACAATCTAAAGAGAGTACAACTAAATAGACGAGTTTTATCAGACCTAAGAACTATTTTCCTTTTGGATGATACATTAAAATGAATGTAAAGGCACAAAAAGCTCCAATGGCATTCATCAAATCTAAAATTATCTTCCCAGATTTAATTTTTTTTAAGAAAACTTGTCATATTTAGTTTTATACATAAATGTTAAAATTCCTTTGCTATTAAAGGAATAATATATATAGCATTTTTTCAAATATTGTTAACAGGTTTCACTGATTATACCTAGATAATTTATGTAAAATATAAGTTTCTGCTTTCAATCATTTAGCACGCAATTCAAGGGCCGCTTATCTGGAAGTAAATCTCACTGGAAGATATATAAATCTGGGCATTTACAATCCATAAAAACTGACAAAGAAGTATAACACAAAGCAAGATTCCCTTCAGAACATTAGCAAAGTGACAATACTGACACCTTGTGGCCACCACAATTTCACATAACTACAATGTTTTTACAGACAAGACATTAACTCAAACATAAATTTGCACTTGGTAGAAATGCATTCTCCATTATCTATGGCACTGATGCCACACATAAGTATTATTTGTTTATTTGTTTATATTAACTGTCCAACTCCAGTGGAAGTAATAGGAAATCAAATCATAATATCTACTCAATAATTGTGTTAAAGAACCTGGCCTTAGCATGAAGCATGACTCTGGTCTATTGCAAGTCTATCTTGATGGTAGTTAATATCTACATTTCCTATATTTTAATCTAATCTGTTTTAAAAGTAATTTCAAAGTCATAGGGAGAGAAGAGAAGAAAGAACACATTGCAGAGGAGCAGTCTCTCACACTATCCTGGTGCTCTGCATAAGTTAGGGCAAAAGTGGAAGCAGAGACAGTTTATTAAATGAAAGGGTGTAAACTGAGAAACCTATACCATAACAACGAGGGTTCTTGTGGTCAAATTCTACTAACAAATATCTCTTAAGACTCTTGGTGTGTCCTTCCTAGAGGTAAAGTACCAAGAATTCTACAACAGTCACATGAAAGACATACCCTCTCCATTCAGGTAAAACTGAGCCAAAACGCCAAATAACGTAACTGCATTTACATAAATTATTTTAACACTGATGCATAATAACTGAGGAAGAGCATCCTTTAGCTCAGCATCATTATTGGTTTGCATTCTGAATTGTTTATGAGTCCTTACGTTACTTTAGATAAAAGCATCCCATCTCTTCCCCCATCTGCTTGTTTTCCATTGATTGGACAAAGAACTATATTTGGAATTTTACAGAAGAGGGGGAAGGATAACTATTTAATGGGCACATAATCAACTGAAACTGATCTTGGAAAATCAAGTACAACAAACTTAGAATTTGAATTAGAGAAAACCAGGAAGATTTTGTTTTATTTCTTTTATTCTTGCCTTGCTGTCATTGTTGACTCCTGGTGACTGACTGGACTAATCCCTGCCGTTTTCTTGGTAAGATTTTTTTGGGGGGAACTGGTTTGCCTTTGCCACCTTCCTAAAGCTGTGAGAGAATGATTGGCCCAAGGTTGACTAGATGGCTTCATGTCTAAGGGAGGACTATATCTCATGGTCTTTCAGTTTCTAGTCCTGGCTCAACCAAGAAGTACCGTGGTTATAATCTAGACTGGAAAGTAAACAAATAAATTAAAAGGACTCTTAAGGAAAGCAACGGAAAACTAGTTTTCTATTTATTGTTAAATAAAATGCTTTGAGGTATTGAACTATTAATAAACCATTAATAGTTGACCTCTGTACCATTAAAATACATTTCCTGCACTACTCTTTTGCTTGCCAGTTTTAGTCTGTGTCCCATTTTGGTCAAATTAAATTCGATTTAGAATTTTACATAACAATCAAAAAAGATGTTTTCAAAAGGGAGGTCATATATGCTCAGGCAACATCCTGGAAATAAACTCCACTGAATAAAACCCCACTCATTTTTCTAAAAATATTGTATTATAGTTGTCTCATCTCTTGAAAGTTCCCTGAGATAAGTTTGCTAGCTTCTTTTGCTTTTTTCTGCCTACCTATCAGGAACTACCATTCGACAAAAGACTTCCTTCAGTCTCCATGCAATGATTTCCATATTCTGCATCTTGTATCCAAGTATCCAAATTACTCCTTGACCTATCTTGGCCTGGCCAGTAGCTATTTACCTCTGTCAGAGCTCTGTGGAAAGCTCTGCCAAAAGAAATCTAATGTTCTGAAAAAAAAAATTTCAAAGCTATTAAAAAGTTATAAACCTTTGGGCAAAAGACAAACTACCTAAAATTAATGGAACAAACTTCATTGTAGGAAGCATTTCGATTCTGAGCAGCTGAAGGTTGATTCAGCCTTCTATACTTCAAGGTCAGTAAAATGAGGATCCAGATTGCTGAGAGCAATATGTTGACTCTGTAAACTGCTTAGAGGGGGCTCTGAAGCACTATGGAGCAGTATATAAGGCTAAGTGCTATTAATTATTAGCTAAGAGTTGGCTTCCATTCTTAATTTATTCTAATGTACAATATTGCTTTGTCAGTTTTTCCTGGTGAATCTTCAGGTTTATCAGTTTGTGTAAGTCATGCACAGAGGCTATTGCAATTAAATGGCACACTTTTTGCATATTAGATGGGTTTTTAAAAATCTATTACTTGAAGATTCCTAAAATAAAGATTCTGTTGGATTTATGCATTGTTAATTCTGGCTTAGCACATGTTCGCTTAGCTATATTTATTTGTAAAACAGTATTTGGATAATATCTGAAGATAATCTAGCCACCTGGGACTTCAACAAAGAATGATAAAGTGTGTAATTCCTCTACATGAAAACTGAAATCTAATATTGTGCTAATGTTTACCAGAATGTTTATGCTTATTATGTCACAGGTAACATTTATCACAAACTGAGACAAGCTTATTTATAGCTGATGTAACAACAACTGGGAGAAAAAGAGCATATGTTTTAATAAAAAGCTGAATATTCTAAAGGAGTTTAATAAGTTTGGTGGAAATAGCTATAATGCTTAAGATCCAACTCCATAGTGCTTTACAGCAGTGGTAGTCAACCTGGTCCCTACCGCCCACTAGTGGGCGTTCCAGCTTTCATGGTGGGTGGTAGGGGTTTGCTGTAACTCTGCTTTATAAATTTTATAAAGTTACTTGCCTAATTTATAAATCACCATTAATGTGGAACCGGTGGGCGGTTAGAAAATTTTACTACTAACCAGAGGTGGGTTCCTACCAGTTCGTACCTATTCAGTAGAACCGGTTCATCAAATCTACGGAACCGGTTAGAAGATGTTCCTCCAGTGGACCCAGAAGGCAGGCCACACTTACAGAAGAGGTTCCAAAAATTTTTGAAACCCACCACTGGTCCTTGGATATGATTATTCTACACTATCATGCCCATATTTATAAAACTCAGTGCCTCTGTGAAAGGTAAGGATGACTACTGCGTTTGTGGTGCAATCAGAACATTGCGTCTGTTGAAGTTGTTTTAACGCAAACCAAAGATGCCTTTTAAAAAATAAGTTTACATCATATTCTTATGCATGCCAGTGCTGTGTGTGAGGTAATTTAAGGTGGTTCTGACAAGTGTCGGCATCTTCATATCCGGTCACATGGGCAGCAAGCCACTCCCACAAAGGAGGCCACACCGACAGAGTAGGTTCGAACAATTTTTGAAACCCACCACTGCTACTAACAGAGATACAAAAGTGGGCGGTAGGTATAAAAAGGTTGACTACCCCTGCTTTACAGTGTCTCTAAGTGGTTTACAGAGTCAGCATATTGACACCCAAAATCTGGGTCCTTATTTTACCGACCTTGGAAGGATGGAAGGCTGAGTCAATTTCGAGCCAATGAGACGATGCAGTAAAAATTTTAAAAGCCCACAAAACTCAAATAATAAATCCTGATTGCTTGGTGCCATACAGCTTTGGGAGCAGAGAAAACTTAAAATCCACAGAGAAAGAGAACTCGGTGTGCCTCTGATTAGTTCATCCACAAACAGTCAAGAAAAAATGGAGGGCTGGTAAAAGTTTCTGGGTTCTTTTTGTTTTTAATACTTAACATGTAATTTGAACAAGTAAATATTTATTTCTTTACCAGGGATTCTATGCATGTTTTTTTTTTCATCTAAATATAAAACTTGGATCATGCCATGTTTTAACTAGTTGATTTGAAGGTCATTGAGTTCTGACTTGGTTTCTACCTACGTTTTTTTTGTTTTTATATAAACACCCATCATACTTACATTGATTCACAACTCTCAAGCTGCACTGATTTGGTTTGGACAAAGCCAATTATCCCGCTAGTTGTGGATTTCCCTATAAACCAACGGAGACCTGGAATGAGAAAGCCGATCACCTCTAGGATATCCCCTTTGCAGTAACTCAATTCATCCCAGCTTTTTCCTCTGTGATCTTCAGTAGCTGTGCACCTCCCTTGGCCTGAAAAACAGAATGAAAGCATTCTCACATCAGAAGGCTGAACAATTGTATCATTCTCTCACAGCAGCACCATGGCTAGAGGCAGCGGAGAGTGTGCGTGCAAACAAAGCCTGATAACAAAAACTCTTTTGTGTTCCTTGGCATTTTTTGTTTTCTTCAGTAACTTAGATTTCACAGGCAAGTCCAGTCTGGTTTTTTTAAACACACACACACACACACACACACACCAGGCAGTTATTTATTCCACAGACATATAAGCAGCTCTGAAGACATTCCAATTTGTTACAGTGGGTTTGTGGGTGAGGGGGGGGGGGACAGCCATTGAGAAAAATATTTGCCCTACGTCATGCATTTTTTGCTACTTTTTCACCAGTGGCGTGCAGTCAGGGGAGGCTCTGCCTCCCCACTGTCATCATGAAAAGAAAAAAAAATGTAAAAGGAAAAAGGCAAGAGCTGA